ACCCCTTTTCAATTTCCCTTTTCATTAACCCAATTTTCTACTTTCCAGTTTCATTAATCAATTTCTCATGTATCCCTTTTTTATTTACCCATTTTTCTTTTATCTATTTTTCATTTTTATTTTCCCATTTTCCAATTTCCCTTATTCATTTAGTATTTCCTTATTTTCTTATCACATTCTATTTCCCCGCAAAACTTAGGAAAAAATAAATGCATTTATTTTTTCCTAAGTTTTGCGGGGAAATAGAATGTGATTTACTAGTATTTCTTTAAAATACTAGTATTTATCATTAACTTCATTAGAAAATTGTGTTATTACTCCTGTCTTTACTTTTCGTGTGGCCGCTCAGACAGAACGTGTTTCAGCTGGCGGCTCTCATGGACTCAGAGCTTCACCGTCTGGGTTTTTTATAGTTTGGACGAAGCGGCCGCTGAAGTTGGCTTACGATTGAAGGTTCAGGACGCCTTCGTAGCTACCAGCTGTGGTCCAACTATAAGGAGCAGACTTTACTGTACATCGTAAGTGAACTGCAATATCCAGAGGCAGCTCTATGGAGCATCGAAGAAAGAGTTGTTTTTGTTGAGCTGAGAGAATGAGAGTGGCAAGCCTTGGAGATCTGCATCGGAGGCCATCTTTCAGACATGCACCGCTGCTGTCCGTCCAGGATCCTCCGGTTGCCCAGACGGTAAGCTAACGCTGATGTTTTCCAACTATAGTCATATTTGTAACCAAACTTGAGGCCAACAGGTGTACTTTTAATCGCCACCAGGTCAAAAGTACAGCTTGTTTTTGCAGCACATTCATTAATGTTTCTATCGTGTATGTTTTCAGATGTTAAGCTGTCACAGCAGATCATCCTGCAGACCTCTGGTCTCAGTGTTTCCCTTCAGACTCCCAGTGGGCTCACAGCTTCAGGGTGACCAGAGACCTTCACCTTTCTGGAGCAGGAACACCCGGCCAAATGCACTGGTGACACATTTAATTTAAAAAATGTGGCTGTTCTTATAGCATTGATATGCAAGAACCGTCTGTATTTTACAGTTTTGAAGAAACAAAATGTTTATTATGAAATCTGTGTTCCTTCTAATCTGTGTAGTTCTAATGTATTTAAATCTCATGTTTTCACATCCCAGAGACAATAAAATGGATCGTTTGTTTGCAGCTTAAAACAAACAAAGTAATCTTAATACAACAAAGCTACAAAAATAGAATACAGATTGAAAGTTTTGGACCCGTTTTATTTTTTGGTTTCATTACACTGATTCTTCAACATGAAGCTAAACAGTGAATGGAGTACCTTGTATGTACTAGAAATTAACAAACATGACATATTGGGTTATTAATAGTAACCATAACAGTTATTTTACACAGCTTGGTTTATTAAATAATGATTGCGTTCACTTATGGACGCCTTCAATTGGAAATCTGCAATCTGAAGTGTCAGTGAAATAACCAGTCAGTCCTCAGGTCGGTCTGCCCTGCATGTTTCAGGTGTTTCCTTCTGTCACACCTGGCCTCAATAAATATCTGATTAATGGATGAGCTAATGCTATAGTTTGTATCAGTTGCTCTGGAACAAACACTTTAAAATGTAAAATGTTAATGTCCTGTATAACTTAGTGATATAGACAAATGTTTTCTTCTCATTGTGTTATTTTCACTCTGTGTCTGAAGTTCATCACATTTCTGGATGTTCTGTGTTTCAGTTACATTGAAGTTAGCAGGTTTTTAATCAGGGCCACAATGCCCTGTGTGTGTTGGGTTTAAGAAAAGAGGCTGCTCTGTTTGAGCACCAGCATTCATTTTTCCTCTGATGTTTGGGTGAACTCTTCTCTGTGGAGGTCGGCCATCTCTCTGGTTCTTCAGGAAGGAGACCCATCAGGAGTTCTGGTGCTGCTCACAGTGCAGACGGTTCAGACGGTCAGCCGTGGTCCCTCTCAGA